CAATATAAAATCATATTGTATATACCTCCGAGTCGGTTCAACATATTTAGCAGCGCCGTCGTCGCTATATTTTATCAATCCATCTAAGGGAAAAAGGCATAGGAAGCCAAAAAGAAAAGTTACTGATCGGATCGAATCGGCCAACCAGGTATAGAATGTTAAAACTTGGATATTATCCATCTTACAAACTTTTCCATTTGTGAAAGAAAAAAATAATTTTTATAACAAACAATTTCATGCACTAACAACTATTATTTTTTTATACATTTTTATATACATATAAGTGTACCTATAGTATATACATTCGAATGTAATAGAAAAAAGTGTATAACTTGGACCGTTTAAATTAAATACTTGTCGTATTCGCAAATCAATTCCCCAATTTTAAATAAAATCACTGAAAAACTCTCTCATTTGCCGCGCTTGTCCCTTATTTTCCCAAGCCTTAGCCTTAGCGCTATTTTCTTGGGCCTTTGGGATTCCGCTTATATATTTATTGCCCTTAGATCTCTGACAGTGTATCATTTTCCGTGTGTAGCAGATACTGAACAACCAGGTGAATACGAAGTCATACATACAGATTGAAAAAAGTAATCATTTAATATGTTGTGTAGCTGGAGACGCTTTGGGCACAGTCAGGGCATTCAAAATCATAAATCCTGAAGCACAGTCAGGGCATTCAAAATCCCAAATCCTGAAGCGGGTGTACCGTAATGATTGCTGATTTTCTTCAAGAATATATCGAAACTTTTTAATCTGCTGAAAATGTCCCGCTATCAGCCTTGAGATACCTGATCGACACAGTCAGACCCCTTTATGATTCTTTGAAGTTTGTTGGCGATAAACAACGTACATATAACGAACAATCAAAGTCGGTGCAGAAACTAAGAGAAATCGGGAAGAGAGAGAATGCGCGTAGGCTCCAAAAATGTTCAGCCAAGCCATATTTTTCCGAAAATGAGTAGAAATAAAAATAAAAGACTTTTCTTCTTCGAACCGAACGGACGCGTTTTTTTACTGTCGTTTATCTTTGCTGTAATAGTCGCGAATTAAATTCGAACTTAATATTTATGTATTAGATTTAATTTAAACTTCATTGGCTTGTCTTCCGCACCGTGAAGGAAACTGTGTAGTTTTCCATCTCATTTTAAATATATTTAAGTTCATTCATCTCCATCTTATCTTGTCTTATTTCGCGATTAAATGAAATGATTAAAATGAAGTGCATCCCATTTATAATCTGCAATACTACCCAGTGCAATGCACAAATTGTCAGGAGTATAGACACACCAGGGCTTACTGTTCACTTTAAACCGTCTGTGTAGCTTGTGGAGACTTCCACAATTCGGCCAACAGCCCTGCCAACAAAGAAGACCCCAAAAAAAAAAAAAATGCGTCAACTGCCAAGGTAACCACACGGCAAACTAAAGAGGCTGCACGATCTACAAGAAGATAAAGGACCAAATGCGTAAAGAGACAGCAACGCGTCATCAGAATACACAAAATGTGTAGAATTACCCGCGTACGACGCGGGAAGTATTCTCCGACACGGCTGTAAGATCCTCACTGGGTCAAATATATACCCAGAAGGGTTGCTCATACGCCGATGCCCTTCGATCAGGGACGGAAAACCCACTCCAGCCTAATCTAGGAAACGCTCAACAGACCCAACTTCAGTCGCAATGGCAAATCTAGAATAACCATGAAGTAACACAGTTTCTGAATGATAATCATATCGACATTATGCTAAACAAATACAACTTCCAAGTAAGAGGATACACTCTCTACTGCACAGATCATCCAGATGGTAAAGCCCACGGCGGAGCCGGCATCCTAATCAGGGAACGCATCAGGCACCACTTTCACCGAAGTTTTGCAACTAATTATTTGCAAGCCTTGTCTATTCAAGTGCAGTCAGGCAACGGACCCTCAATATAGCCGCTATCTACTGCCCACCTCGCATTATAATTTCTGAAGGACAATTCATGGACTTTTATATCCTGCTTGCCAAACACACACACGCCTTGTGACTCCCAAAGGAAGGCAATTATATAATGCAATCATATAACCGAACAACAAATTAGACTACGTTTCTCCTGGCAGCCCCACATACTGGCTAACAGACGCCAGGAAAGTTCCAGACCTAATAGACTTTGGGTTGACAAACAACATTCCACGCAATTTAATAAGCGCCAGAGCACTTTCGGACCTTTCGTCAGACCATTCGCCAGTGCAAATAACTCTCCTTCAAAGCACAAAAATTACAGATGACCCCCACAGGTTGACGTCGCACAGAACCAACTGGTTAAAATACAAAAAGTATGTAAGCTCACACATCAAATTAAACCCTCAATTTAAACTCGCAGCGGACATCGACGGCTCTACCGATGCTCCTGAAGAAGTATTCGTGGAGGCAGCCATTATCGCAACACCACAAGGTAGGGAGATGCAAACCAACCACCTTAAAACTAATCTGCAAATTGATCGGCTAGTCCTAGAAAAGAGGAGCCTGCGATGTGCCTGGCAAACCAACAGATCGCCGTCATCAAAACAACGTCTTAATAAAGCCACTCGCCTACTAAATCGAGGTCTAAAGCAAGAAGCAGAAAAGGCACACCTGCGGTATATTAAAAAACTTTCGCCAACCAGTACAAAACATCCTCTGTGGAGGGCTCATCCAAATCTGAGCTACCCTATCGAAAAAGTCACCCCGATAAGAAATTCATTTGGCAGCTGAGTACGCAGTGACGCTCATAAGCTATTTGAGTCGTATCTATACAACAGAACCTTCGCAGTAAGGTGCAACACAGCAACATCCGGCGACTACATTATCAAAACTGGAGTCCCGCAAGGAAGCGCGATAGGGCCTACTCTGTTCGTCTTACATCTACGTTCGCTGACGACATCGCAATTCTAAGTCACTCGGGGTGCCCAGGCCGAGCCACCACACAGCTAGCAAATCACCTCCTCATAGTTTGGCTATCTGATTGGCGGATTAACATAAATGAACAAAAATGTATAACACGCAGATTCCCCAAGTTAACGATGTAACGTACCTCGGCGTCCACCTTGACAGACGACTAACCTAGAGAAGATACATCCAATGCAAAAAAGAACATTTAAAACTGAAAGCCAACAGCCTCCACTGGATTCTTAACGCCCGTTCACCCCTGCGTCTGGAAAACGAACATAGACAATATACAGCGCGTCCAATCAAAAACCCTCCGAATTATCACTGGGGCACCATGGTATATTCGCAATCAAAACATCCACAGGAAAGATGAAATAGACAAAATATATAGCAAAGTTAAAAAAAAAAATAATTAAATAAGTCTGCCAGGCGTAAAAATCATCAGTAACCTTATTCCTCCAACTACATGCCAACAGAACACTCAAGTGTCGCCGCAACTATTTAGAACGGGTATGTATACGACTGTGGTGATGTCAAAAAATTCAGCTTCCGAATTTACAGGTCATGAGTGTATGAAATCGTTGGATGTATATCCACTTTATGCTTATAGGCTCCTGTAGAGCCAATTTCCATAAGCAACAACCCGCGAGATACACTGCAGGGGAATTCCATGACCGCACTACCAGCAAGCACTGGTAGTGCAGGATTACAACCTGCTACGTCATCCCACGAGAGAAACTTATATTCGTTTCCCGGCTTTCAGATGACACGTCTGAATCAGACGTATCGGCTTATATACAATCCAGGACTAAAGCCGACGTCAAAATGGTTAGCATTACCAAATTTAAATATGAATATATCGGAAAATTTATATTGTTAAGGTTATTAATTTTATTTAGCTAAGCCAAGAGTTCTAAGCAAAGTGTCGCGCTGTCCAACTCTCACCCTCTCTCCCGGTTACACTTGACGGCCTGGCAACTCCATCTCGGTGATGTTACGGTCTCGCTCTCTCAAGACTCTCTCAAATCGACCTGGGGTTATAAAACTTCAATGACTAAAGGCACTGTGCAACTACAGTGACTAAAGTTACTGAGCAACCTCCTTCAAAAAACTAATATCCTTCCTCCACCTTCCTATCAAAACACAAGGGGACCCGAAATTATTGTTTTTACTGCAACATGGCTAATATCGAACATTCTTAGCTCCGAAATTTTTAAAGTTGGTACGCATATATTATTATTTTTTCCGCAGTCGAACCTCGTCACTCGACCTTTTTTGAGTAAAAGTGGTATTTCTAGGCATCTTCACCGCGTCTGCTTTACGCTTCATCTGGTGTCCATTTAGGTCCGCTGTTTCTAACAATATTCATAAAACCTTCCACTTGATTTTAAAAATTCTTTTATTTTAATGTTCGTAGATGATGTCAAACTTAATAACCACTTACTATGTGGTGAAGCCCTTGATAAAACTAAAATAGTCGTCGACTTACGTTTCCTATTGGATGCCAAACTTAAGTTTTCCGACAAAATTTCTTACATGGGTAATGAAGCCAGGGGTGTGCTAGGTTTTATAAAAAGATGGTCGAAAGAATTCAATGTCCCTTACTTTACTAAAACTATCTTTGTCTCTCTCGTTTGTCCGAGCTTAGAGTACGGATATTGCGTCTGGAACCCCCAGTATCCCCTCCATCAATTTAGGCCCTTGGAGGACTTGCCGCCCAAGGCTAAAGTCGATTCTCCAGAGCAGCAAATTTGTCAACAACAAGATGGCAAAGATGGCAAGTTAAAGCAGTCGCCACAGGATCTGCGCCCCCAGTATGAGGAGCTGATGCGAATTAAACGTGACGATATCTAACTCCACACACAAGTCCATCGAAAAATTGAACTCGAATCGTGTTCGTATTGACGGTCTAAATGCCAAGATTCACGATCTTGAACACATTAACGCCACTCTCAATTTGCCGACTTGCAAATCTTAGGGAAACCACTTGCAACAGCTTACAATTTATGCAAGAGATAGAACAAAATATTCGCAAATGGCAAATAAAAAAATAAATATAACAGTTATTTAAGGTCTGTCCTGCATTTACCTATACTTTGATGACTCAGTGATCATTTGATCGTTTTCACGTGTCCAATAGTTAAGTGAGGTTGGGTTCGCCTCGATAAAACACTCAAGGGAAATATTAAAACCTACTGGTATGCCCACCAGCTGATGAGGTATCCAGACCATTGGCGAAACTGTATGAATGTACCCAAGGAAGTCATTCAATTAAAACATAAGTTATTTAGTTTATTTACCAACTTACAGTCGACGCTGACTTTGATCCGCTTGGATACGCTTGGTGGTACTCCGTTTGACGCGATACAAAGGTAGGCGCCCATATGCAGACGTGAAATTCGCTCAAGCTCAAGGGAATGCGTCTCAAAATCTTGCACTATTCAGAATCTTAATAAGTACATGAAGAAGAGGCTAAAACAGAAATGAACTTACCTTCGAGTGTCTTGTTAATCACTATTTTGTTGCCGTCATCTCGCTTCCACTTAATGGTTGGTTCGGGGCTGCCTTTCGCCTTGCATCGCAACGTCACGTTATCGCCTTCACGCACTATGATGTCACTGGAGGTAAGGGCATCGTCAATATTGGGCGGTACTGTGGAGATCAAGAAGGAGTATTTCGTGAAGTATATTTCTTTAATTAAAAAGTAAGAAAGTATTTTACCGTCTTGGAAGACATCGCTGCCAAGGAAACGACAACTGAATACAAATATTCGTACTATTTCGAATACTCTTCAAATAACTGTTGTAAATGGATGTTTCATCGCATCGATGATGTACATCGTTAACTCCAATGAGCTAATTTATATACAAATGCTTCAGATAAATTCATTGCACAGTATTAAGCCTTATGAGCGATGAATCCAGGTTCAGGCATTCATTCTTAATAAAACAAGAAGAAACGCCATTTGAGTGCCTCGAATATTAGATACCCAGCACTGTCATATCCAATTTTAAAATAACTATTTTGCTACTAGAAATTAACGCAGCACAACCTTTCGTCAGGAAGAGCATGTTTAAGAACTATGATGGCGTCACTGATCAAGTGAAGCCTTGTAGCCTGCACCTCCATTGTAATATTATGGACACCACAGAAATCAGCGGCTTGTCAGCGTTAGAGTAGACATTTTATACCCGCTACTCGTAGAGTAAAAGGGTATACTAGACTCGTTGAAAAATATGTAACAGGTAAAAGGAAGCGTTCCGACCCTATAATGTATATATATTCTTGATCAGTATCAATAGCGAAGTCAATTAAGCCATGCGCCGCCTGTCTGTCTGTCCGTATGAACGCTGAGATCTCAGGAACTATAACAGTTGAGATTAAGCATGAAGATTCTTGAGGCCCATACGCAGTGCAAGTTTATTTCAACATTCTGCCACGCTCACTGTAATGCTCACAAATCGCGAAAATCTAGACTCCCTGAAATCTCAGTGAATGTATAATAAAGATGCCAGCGCATCTTATAGTAGTGGTTAAACGGCCACACCCACTCCCCACCCACTCCACACCCATTTTGTAGAAAAGCTGATATCTCAGTAACTATACGTGATAAAACGTTCGGATTAAGAATGTCGGTTTTTATGATGCCCCCAATGCAAATTGTTTTTTTCCGATCCAGTCACGCCCACAAAACCCGAAAAACCAAAACAGTAAAAATCTCGAAAACTATAAGAGATAGAAAGTTGTGCTTAAGAATACGTGTTTAAGTGATGCCACTGAAACTTGGCACGAGTTTTCATTCGGCCACGCCTACTCTAACGCCCACAAACCGCGGAAAACTGTGGCGGACATGGTCACTGACGTCACTATCAGTTACTCAACATGCTTTCTCCGACTATAGGTGGCGCTTTGGAAATTTCCACTAGCAAAATTAATATTTTAAAATTGTGTAAAACAGTAACGGGTATCTTATAGTCCCGGCACTCGACTATAGCGGTTCTTCTTGTTATACCCGTTACTCATAGAGTAAAAGGGTATACTAGATTCGTTTAAAAATATGTAACAGGTAGAAGGAAGCGTTTCTGACCCTATAATGTATATATATTCTTAATCAGTATCAATAGCGAAGTCGATTAAGCCATGTCCGTTTGTCCGCCCGTCTGACCGTCTGACCGTCTGTCTGTCTGTCCGACTGTCCGTCTGTCCGTAAGAACGCTGAGATCTCAGAAACTATAAGAGATACAAAATCGTAGCGTTTAATCTTGTTTTTATTATAAACTTTCTTTTGTTGAGAAACTACAATAAGTTTACGACTCTTAACATTAAAATTCAACTAACAGTATATTAACACTGCATTCTGGTAGACGAAGACGTGATTGGTTGCTGAACCTTGCTTGACCTCGCGCCAGGTGGTTAGGGTACAAAAATAGCTTGGTTTCTTTCTGTTTCACGTTCTTTAACTGGTAGAATGTTTAAGTCGTGATGTATGTTTTCCTTTCGGTGCCCTGGTTATGGTTTTCAAGATCTTCGACTGAGCTCGTCAATATTGCTATTGCTGGCATTCCACCATAACTGGGAACCGTACATCCATATAGGTTTTATTACTGAGTTATGCAGCAGGCTAATGGGAGACTGAGCGTTGATAAGCCAATGACGGCTACTGGCTTTTGGCTTTAGGTGAGTTTCTTTCCAATTTCATAATTGGCTTATATAGAAGCTCAGGCTGATATGTTAAAGTTGACAAAGGAAACGCACTAGTGGCAAGATTTAATAGGAAGACATTTTTAAGGTGGTTGGCAAACGTGATGGCTCTGTCTGCATCGCCGTGTCACCTGTGGGATTTTTAATCGCATCACAGTTTCTTTTGGTAAGATCACAGTTGGGTGAGCTCTTCATAGTGAGTGTTTTGAACTAGAAGTTGACAATTACTCTATGCAGCGGCGGTGGACATATGCTTCTTCTTGCTTTAGAAAGTTGACCTGAGGCATGTCTTAAGCTTTGCTTAGCAGATGGCTATCGAGGACGAGCTGTTCGATTTGTAAATTTGTCTTTTTTTGGTTGCATTGTTTATTTATAGTTTGAGGTGTTGAAACTGAAGCTGCAGAGACGAATACAGACTCGAGTGAATTAACAATGCTTGTTCTTGGTTTTGATAATTGTATTATTGAGCTGCTTTCCTTTTGGATTACAGAGACAAGATCCCTAGTGTGTGTGCTTGGTATTGTAGTCTCTTGCTGCTATGAAATGGTCTCATAGGGAGATAAGAGTGGGTCCTAGTGGGGACCTGGCTGCAGTTGAGAAAAAGACTTCAGGGTTTGATCTGGACTGGCGGGTAGTAGTTTCTCTCTTATGAATGCGACTTTTCAGCTGGTCAACCGCTATAATAAGCAGTGTGATTGAAGTGTGATCATAAAGCTCTTCTCAAACACCGGGCAAGATTACAGTATGATCATGTATGGCCATATTTTTGACAGGGTAGGGCCGAGCTGCAGTGGCATCTCAGAAATACGTATTCCTAAGCCTAACTTTCTACCTCTTATAGTTCCCGAAATTTTTTCATTTTAGTTTTTTCTCGTTTTTTTGGCGTTAGAGGTTTGGTTTTCGTCGCAGTCAACGTTAACGTTTAACATTTGTATTCTTCTAATAATAAACAAAGAGGGACAGAAAAAGACCTGACTCATGGATGGATCTTTGAGACCACCAACCTGATACACATGATGGACAACAATAAGGTACCACGCGATGATCCTATCAACGCAATCGGATTAAAACTTCTCCCACCTTACAGCAAGAAGCTCGTCACGTTTTTTTCAATGGGTACATGCAAATGGGTCACTTTTCAGCACCATGGAATCGTGCGGAAGTGGTCTTGATATCTGATGCCAATTTCGCCTCCTACCGTCAAATCAACCAACTGCCAGCGCTCTCCAAAACGCTGAACAGGGTATTTATACCCGTTACTCGTAGAGCAAAGGGGTATATTAGATTTGTTGAAAATTATGTTACATACCCTGTAACCCTATAAAGCATGTCCGTCTGTCTGTCGGTATAAACGCTGAGATCTCAGCAACTGAAAGGATATAGAGTTGAGACTAAGCAGGCAGATTCTTGAGGTCCCTACGGTGCGCATGTTTATTTCAGCAGCCTGCCACGCCTATGCCAACTCCCACAAATCTCGAAAAAATTAAAATATCTGAAATCTATTGGAGCTGCAAAGTTAGGATTAAGTACGTATACTCTTGAGATGCCATCGCATCTTATGGTGACTGCCATCCGGCCACACCCACTCTTACGCCCAGGAAGCTCGAAAGACCGTTTTCGCTTTTTGTAGAAAAGCTGATATCTCGGTAACTTTAAGTGATAGAAATTACACGCCCTAGCTTCAAGGTATTGAGACTTATCAAAAGCCTAGGTTGCGCTGAGTCGTATCCGGATAGTAGTAAGTGCCGAAGATGACTGGCTACATTCAACGATTGCGACGGAAGATCAATTGACTTGACCTAGTGAACGTCTCGAAGATCGTATAGCTTCGTTTGGTAAATGCCGGAAATCTGTAAATCTAGTCTGACCGAGGTATCCTTATAACAGTGCATTCCAGCAGTCCACTGCATATATAAGGACTGCGGTTTTCCGTTCTCTCCGAGGTCATCTAGCAATGGAACATCGAGGCGAAGGTTAGAGATAAGCCGTCGTCGATGAATGCATACGTGTATAATGCCTGAAAGGAGCATAATAAGGATTTTTGTAGATATAAGCAGCTGAAGCAATACGATTAGTTAATTCATAGGAATAGGATTACCTTAGGAAGAGAATAAAAGGAGAACAGTGGAGACAGCTATATTTTTAAATTCAAAAGCGGGGCCGCGCCTTAGCTACGATGAACGGCCACACAACCCAGGGATTTACGAGTCACATTGACTCTAGCCGAAGGGGTGTATAAGGAGGACCGGTCAACCGTGATCAGGAAAGATCAACTTACGCGAGATGTAATCACCTTATATGAGGAACAGCAATCGTCACTTTTGGCAAGACTCAGCCTAGAGCTGAATCTAATAAATCTTCCGCGGAACGACGTTTATCGGTACCAGCCGATGCTCTCACGGAGAAGATGTACCGGTCTCTGCACTTTCTCACGTTGAAGGCCTACGGATCTCCACACTCTCTCACGTAGAAGATCTACGGATCTCTATATATCTCTTATTTATTCGATCTACGAATATTTACTCATCTCTTAACTAGCAGGTCTCCGGACCTCTCTGAGTAGATCCACGGAACCTCTTCTTACCTCTTAGCTAGCGTAGCTGGGGAGCTCGACTCATCCCTAACTCAATAGACCTCGGGACCTTATTCATCTCGGTCCCACCACACCATCAGCTAAGAGAGCTCGTCCACACCGGTGAGGAATCGTCTCCGCCAACTGTGAGGATTGTCACCCGACCTGGATCACTGAAGGAGAGCGTCGCCACATCAATCTCAAACTCTGTAACCCTATATGTCCAAATAAAACTAGAACCTATTCTTTACTGCAGTAGCCCACGCCATACTGTGGGTTGGACTCTTCTTTTCAGCAAGCAAAACTGACTCAAATAAATTTTTAAACGAACTGCTGGCAGCCGTGGAAATGTCCCGGCCACCCAAAGCAGGACCGTCAC